TCTAGAGACAGTATTTCTTGGGGGAGCCGTTTCCAAAATGACATCATGCCGAGCATGCAGCCTCAGAGGTCGCCTCGGGGGACAGTCACCGAAGCTCCAATTGAAATAGTTTTCACCACATGTCCTCATTCACACAGTGGCGGGGAATTTAGCCAGTCGTTGGCTGTCCTCGAGCACAGTGAGAATAAATCACCCCTCACCCACGCCCTGGATGACTGGGGGACATGCTTTTCTCCTACCCAACGGGTGGCCTTTCAGGAGGCAACCAAGCTGAGGCCTCTGTTGCAACGCCCAGTCATTTGAGAAGGAAGAAAAAGGTCGGTGCTGTGGGCAGCATTGCCACTCCTGCTGTGCTAGTACTGGGTACCCCATGTTTATGAGCAGAAACCCCCCGAGCAGCCTCATATTTCACATTCACGGGGGGGGGGTTAATGGAGCCCTGAGCATCCGTGAACAGTTTTCTTCAGACCGTCTGTGGTGTCTTGAGCAGCACGAGGCTCCTGGTGAGTGGCCTTCTCCGCCGCTCACCTTTAGGATCCTGTCTCTGTCCCCAAACCCATTGAGAGATCCCTGCGGGTCTGCTTTATTTAGGATGCCGGGAGCTCGGGACATAAATCTGTCGCCCTTGTCTTTCATTTCCAGGAAAGACATAATTTCTCATGCGTGGTCCGCTTGCCATGTTGACACACGTTCCTGGAAGTCACAAGTTGCTCTTGGCCTGGGCTTTAATTGCTTTCCTGTTTCCTCCGTCATATTCGTAGCTTTTTTTCTGGTCTTGGTGATGAGCTGCTTGGGCTTAATCTCAAATGTGCCAACCCCGTTCCCTCTGTCCATCCATAAAATGCTGCTGACCGTTATTAACTTCGTTCCCTGCCAAATTCTACCCGCCTGCCGAGTTGGGCTGGGGCACGAGCATGCACCTGTTCTCATAATTTCTCTGCAGCTCCGTTTTTGCTTCCAGAATGTCTCCTTTGCCAGTGGAACACCCCCACTTAGCCCCAAGCTCACTCGAACCATGCCGACCTCAGCCTCCAAGATGCCCATTTTGCCACCGTTCTGTGCCCCCGGTGCTGAGGTGGATTTGCGTTTGTCTGTCCAGACCATTCAGCCCAATGCCGACCGTGGAAATGGGATTCCCTCCATCGATGCAGCGGTTTCTGTGAGACACTTTCACGTCGCTGAGAACAGAGCTGCAGAGTTGAACCCCTTCCGTGCTCTCGTAAAGCGTCCACAACTACATCCCGTTGCTACCTGTATCTCTACAGGTTGCTTGATGCTGTTATGATGCAATGTTTTTCTAGGTTGCAACCCCCGAAGGCTCCAGTTCCCTTGGACACCCCTTCTTTTGTATTCACTTAGCGATCTTGGTGTTTTTAGAGAAAATGTTGCATTTAAAACTGACATTCTGCAGGAGAAAAATAACAAAACACAAAATAAAGTAAGAAGGGCATTCTCTAAGGCCCTCGAGACATCTACACTCAGGTCCTTCATGCTCAGACCCACACGTCTCAGCTCCTTTCCTTCCTCCGGCTCTGCAGCTCCGCTGGGCACCTGCCCCTGGGCTTCCCAATGAGTCCCGCCCAGGCTGAGACCCTCGGGGGTGCTCTGTGTCCAGCCATGCGCCTCCAAGTCTCTGCAAAGTGATGTCTCAACACCTGGAGCCACCCGGGCACAGACAGGCACAGCTGGGGCCGCATTTGCTGCAGGTTGCAGTGCAGGCGGAGCTCAGGAGGGAGCACAGAGCTGCCAGGGGGCCGTGCCTTGTGTGTCCACCCAGCGTCCCTCCATCCCTGCTCAGATCGCACAGGAAATGCACATGTGCTGCTCCAGGCCTGCATTCCTCCTCACGTGGCTTTCCTGCCCCCACTTTGCTCCCCCAGCAAACGCTGCTCACAAGACGGGTGTTGTGTGCACATGCATCTGATTGCAGCGCAGAGGCTGCCAAGCGGCAGGGACTGGGGTCAGAGGGAAGGGCCACGGCATAGGGTGAGGGATGTGGGGCCTCCATCACCTCGGCTGTCCCCTCAGGGTGTCGGGAAGTGATTACTGTCCTCTGGTGAGCACTGCGGGAAACCCCCGTAACACAGATGTGCCGCCGAAGCTGGAGCCAGTGAAGACATGACTGGGTGTGCAAGGACGCAGCCCAGGACATCGACATTGGGACACAGGGGACATTGAATACCAGGCGTCTGGGGCACCCCAGGCAGGAGAGGGTGAGATTCAAGGGTCAAAGCAGAAAGGGAGTTTGCAGAAGCTGCGTGTTTTCCTGCAGGACACGGCACCAGGGAGGCCAATGTCCACGTGACACATGCCGGGGCTTCCTGGCGAAGCTTCCATCCTGGGGACGACACCGTGGGGCTTACAGTTGCGATTTCACCTAAATTCTACTTTCCAGGTTTACTTTATTTGCTCACATGACTCTGGCCATACGTGTTGATGCTCAGAGAGAAATAGGAACCAGCGTTTCTGGATGGAGTAAAAGATGGTGGAATCAAGGTGCCCACCCTGGTCTCCTTGCTCCATGAGGATGGTGGAGAGAAACGAAGAGCCAGGGGTGGGGGTGTCCCATCCAACAGCCGAGCGTGTGTCACTGTCACCAAGATAAGAGGGAGAGGGCCTCCCCGGTGGTGCAGCGGTTGAGCGCTGGGTTGGGAAGCTGCCCGCAGCCTCTGTGGCCCCGGTTCGATCCCCGGCTGCTCCCCGGCCACCGGAGGAGGGTCCCACATGGTGCACAGACCTCTCCTGCCGCCCGCTGCTCCCCTCAGCAGTGTACTTCAGTCCTTCTGCCTGCTCTGCTCCCTGCTCTGGCTCTGGTGAATTCTCTCACCCTCCTGTGCTTCTGACTGTACCCAGTGCATGTATAAACAAAACAAACAAATAAATAAATAAGTAAAGCATGCCTCTATAAAAAAAAAAAAAAAGATAAGAGGGAGAAGCGGGTCGTGTGTGAACCCCTCACCATAGTGGGAGTGTCCGTGGCATTATTTAAAGACACATGGTGATCAATGCAGGTGATGTTTTATCCAACACAACGCCAATCCATAAAAATGGCATGATCCCAAAGAATCAAAAGCAAAGCCTGATGAATGACATGCCACCTACTGGAAACGTGATTTATAACCCGCAGCAGGTCACACACAAGACTGATAAGAGATCAGCGGGCGGGGAGTACACACAGGATCCTTGCACGTAGCTGTGCACATGCCAGGGAGGTATTCCTAGGGAAACATGGGCAAGAATAGAGATGTTGTGTCAAGGGGAAACAACTGATTTTCCAAGAAGACATAAATATCTTAAGTGGGTGCTGGGGGCATCCGTGGTGTTGCAGGGGTGAGTCTCCACACTATGAAGCTATCTGCAACCTCTGCAGCCTGAGTTTGATTCCTGGCCAGGGAGCTACCCATATGGTGCAGCAGACCTCTCCTGTCTCCCCGCTGCTCCCTTCAGCAGCGATTTCAGTAGATCTGCCTGTTCTGCTCGCCACTCTGTCTCTGGTGAGTCATCTCAACCCCCACAACTCTGTCCTGCACCCCAGTTCTTGCATGCATCGATAAATAAATCTTTTAAAAAATTCCTAAGTGTGTGTGTGTGTGTGCCCAAAAGCAGAGCGTGGGTAAAAAGTCTCCCCAAAACTATAAACTGCCAGATGAATCTCTAATTATATTTGGAGATGTCTACATCACTGGCTCAACAATGAACCGAACCAAAAGGTAAACAACCAATAAGGTATAGGTTCTCAAGAACCTGGTTAATGTGTTCCCCGGGTTGACCTTTCTGAAACCTCACACAGGAGCTGAAGGGCACACACTCTCTCCACGTCCCAATGGATACTGCTCCAGAGAGAGCGAGCTCTGGGCCATCAGAAAGACGATTAAATAGAAATCCATACAAGGGATTATCGCAAACCACTTAAAAATCACCTGAAAAATGGGATTTTGAGCCTGACACAAAATCGAACCTCCTTGAAGAACAAGCACCCTCGGAGGCCATCTTGGAAAGACAGCCCCCGTGTGTCCCCCACAGAAGAAAGTCCCTACCACACTGGATCTTTGGGGCTCATTTGCTGACAAGGTGGGCGATGTTTGATGACGACTGAACGGTCTGGTGCATGTTTCCCACTGACACGCAGCAGAGCTCCATGCACAACAACTGTCTAATGAGTCTCCTCACTGCTGTCAGTGACTCCATCGCTATCCTGACACCATTTCTTAACAGACTTGATGGAAAAGTCGCGTCTGATTAGCATCTCCACAACCGAGCAGTCATTCATGCCATAACGGGAATTTAGACTTTTCCATGGGGAGACAGAAGATAAACAGCGTGAGTGAGAAGCAAGTGCATAAAGTGACCAGTGGTGATGTGGCTTAGAGAAAAATCATAGCAAAGGCGGAGTCTGTATCCACATCCATGTTAGTTCATGTCACTCCAGTGAAAAAGTGAGAAGTTCTATTTTGCGAAGCCAAGGGACCTGCTGTGGGTATTTGAAGCAATCGTCATGGTTAGGTGTGATGTAGGGGTGCCCAGGGACCCCAAACTGTTAAGGGGTACAGCCTGAAAGGGCTTAGCCCACAGTCCTAACAACAGCTTCCCAGTAAACTCCCCCAAACAGCTCATCTCCTTGTGGGGAAGTGCCCAGACGAACACGGTTGTCCTCAAGCTTAGGTCTTGAGGCTTGAAAGCTTCCCCCACGTCTAAGGGTCCTTCTGGGGGGACCCACAGGACAGGGGCAGAGGGTCCAGGCAGGGCTGGGAGGATGGCGCACACCCAACTGAAGCTAATGGTGGCCACTGTCACCTCCCATGCTCCCTCCCTCGTGTGTCTCTCCCAAGCTTCTCCACCTGTCTCTCCCCCATATCTCCTGCAGTCCCCTCTCTGCGAGCACTGGGGGCCAGCTGCACCACTGAAGCAACAAGACAGCCCTGCTCCCCTTCCCTGAGGTGCTCCTGGCTGCTCCCTCCACCCCATCTCCCACTCGCTGCCCTGCTCGGGAGCTCTCATACCATTGTCCCTGGAAAGGGTCAGCTGCCTGACTCTATATGAAAAGTGTCCAGCCACATGGACAAGTTCAGCGATGGAGACAGTAAACCCCGGTTGCTAAGGGCTGGTGGGAGGGGATCTGTGTGATGTCATAATAATGGATCCGGGTCACCCCTTGCTGTGAGCCACAGGAGGTAGCTCCTCAGTGAATTGTCTGAACTCTGGGGCAGGGCAGGGACATGCCAGCTCAGTCCCACAGGGATGAGAAATGCACCCCGTGGGGGGACGCTGAGGTAGGGATGGTCGTGTCTAGGTGGGGGGTAGATGGGAATCTTTGCCCGACTCTTGAATTGGATGTGAAGCTAAACCAGCTTAAAAATAATATTGCACTCTTGTAAAGACTTCTCCGTCAGCCTGTGGCTGCAGGTCCTTCCCCTAACAGAGTTGGCTCTAACTTGAGAACTCAAGTCATTTCCGAGGAGGGTGTGTAGAGGGAAAAAGGGGAAAGAAAGACAATTTAAGGGAACGGACCATGATACCATTTAGGACTGGGTGTGTGCAGAATTGGGATTATTCTCATTTCCTCTTCACTTTCAGATTTAATGCCACATATTTTTTATTTATTAAATTTATTGATGTTCTTACATTGATACTAATTTTGGGGCAGTCTTTGATTTCCCTTTCCTACCATATTTCCCCAGCCTTTTAGTTTCAAGCTTTCCCTGGCCTTTTGGCATGATATGCACCTTATAATCAGCGTGTGTTTATTCTCCTTGTGACTCTTTTTCAAATCCAACTTGACAACCTTAATATGTTATTTGAAATTGTTTGTTTGTTTACATTTATTGTAATTGCTCATGACATTTTAATCCAGAAAATTTTGAGTGTGTATTTCTTCCTACTTATACCTTAGCATAGACTAAGATTAGTCTAGTCTAAGATTATAATCTATATCTTAGCTGACAATTTAATATAAAATATTATATCATCACTTCTCCAGCCCAGATAAAACCCTAGAACCTTCAAATTCATTTTCCTGTATCTTCTTTTTCCAGGTTACTGTTTCCTTCCATGTTTTCCTTCAATGAACTGTGAAGCCCAAAGAAAACCAGAGCTAGGACTGTCTTGTAGACATTTATTAATTTGCATGCATATATTAGCTCTTTGCTGCTCCATATTCTTGTATAATCATAGCATTGACATGTTCCCTTTCCTCTGCATGCCTACTAGTGAGTGACTCCATCAGCCTCCACACGACAACAACTTTGTCTCCCAAACATTTTTTGAAAGATCTGTAATGTAACTTTTGGCATTGAATGATCTCATTCCTTGTTTCTGACAAATGCAACTGTCAGAATTATGACCCAGCTCCGTACACAGGAGAAATGTCTGGTGCTGTGTGACAGCAGAAAAGCACTATGTTTTGGTGGCACTGCAGGATGCTACAAAGCCTCACATAACCTCAGACCGCGTTGCAAGAAGAAGGGCTCTAAAGAATGACCTGTCATGGGCCTCCCTGGTGGCGCATGGCTTGAGCCTCAGTGCTGTGAAGCTATCGCCAGCTGTTGTGGCCTGAGTTTGATCCCCGGCCAGGGAGGTACACACATGGCACAGCAGACCTCTCCTATCTCCCTGCAGCTCCCCTCAGCAGGGGATTCTGGTTTTCCATCAACTATAATAATTCACTCAGCAGTTCAGTCTCTGAAAACCTATGGGACATTTTTTTTTTTTTTAATGTTCGTGCTGATAGGCAATCTCAGAGTTGGAATCACAGATCAGTCTTGGATTTCTAGGGCAGGCACTGAATTCCTGGGTGCTGGTTAGACAGTGGCCTTGGTGGTGGTGTTCAGAGTTTGTAAACACATGTTTCACCAGGGAGTCTTTTCACCCTTGGAGAACTGCTCCCATTTGCATGGTAGTGAGGGTAATTCCACTTGCAAGCAGTTAGGACAAACCCACAAGAGCTCCCTTAGCAGGACGATACGCTGGATATGTTTAAAGTCATACTTCACCAGCCAATTGCCCCGAATCAAAAAATGTCTTTGCCTTGTTAAAAACAAACAAACAAACAAACAAAAAAAAAAAAAAACTAAAGAAAACAGGGATTTCACGCTTCAGCATGGCACGCCGGGGGTCCATCGGTGTCTGCTTAGCAAAAAATGCACACAGCTCCCTGCATGCAGAGCTGGGTTGGGCTGTGCGGAGTCACCTGAGTTCAGTTATGATCCACGAGAAATAGAATTGGCCATGACATTTGTGTTCTTAAAATGTGATGTTCCTGAACTTTGTCAAACCCCTTCTGTTGGGATAGAAAAGGAGGTTCAGCTCAACCACCACAAACACCAACACGAGCCAGGGAAACCACAGCGTTACCTGTAGCGTCCTCTCTGAAATGGGATGATTTGCAGTGAGTGCATTGAATCCTGACAGGGAAGGGTTCCGTGAAAGTGAGGCAAAAACTGTGGAATGTCGTGGGAGGTGGCGACCCCAGAGACCCTCAAAAATACAATATTTCAGTAAAATCTTCAGTAAAACCTGTGTGGGTGAGTGTCTTCATGCATCTACTCATATTCTGAGGGTTGATAAAAATGACATATTTGCTGATTTTGCTTTCATATGGAAATTATATATCTCAAAATATTTTATATATACAATATATACTACATTTATATATTTGTATTTATATATGTATTATATATATTTATATTTATAAAATATTTATATATATTTATATATAGTATACATATATTTTAAATATATATTTTAAAATATATATTTTGCATCTATCAAGATATACATAGTCTTATATGAAAGCACATACTGTATGATATAGGATATATTTCTATGCCACTACATAAAAAACATGTTATATAAATATTTGACATTCTTTATATGCTAACAAATAATCTAAAAATATAGAGTCTATATATTGTTTGTTATATAATTTACGATGGAGCATAATAAATCTCTTTCAGGAGGTAGTCCTCTAAATAAGCCCCCACCTGTGAATTTTAGAACAATCCTGCATGGGATTTCAGGATTATGACATCCTTATGGCCCATGAAGCTATTTAAGGACATCTGTGGGGCTCAGTCAATACACGTGTAACGAATACTCTTATTACCACTGGATTCTTTTGTCTTTAATCAGTTTAAAAGAAAAACCCATTAAGAGAAAGCCTGTATCAAATAATTACACTGTCAGTTTTATTTCTAAGGAGCCCAGGCAGGGGGACCAGCTGAGGATTTCAACCCAGCACACGTGTGAGGTCGTGCAAAAAGGTGTTAATTGCAAATAGGCCTTTTTTGCCACCAAGGTCAGAAACTGCAGATTGAAGAGCATATTCCTGGAAACTCTTTTCCTGAGTAGCTGGAGCTACAACCCGTCACCAAAAGACCCGCTGGACCTGTAGCATGAGAGGGAGAAGCACAAATGGTTTTCTTGTTCCGCATCTCCAGGAAGCTGACGATTCTGCGAGTTATTTCCCGCAGTCGGAAATCCACCGTGTCTTGTCTGAGGTCCGGATGCCTGTGTCCATCTATATGTGAATATCCCCGTGCCCCCTCCTGTCTGTCTGTGATCCGGGGACCTGTTCACATGTTTAACCACCACCAGCACAGGTAAGGGTAGCAGGGGACTCTCCAGAAACCCACCAACACCCGCCTGTTCTGGACGGGGTGGGGGAAGCAGATTCCCTGCCAGATGGATTAGATCTGTCAGCATCGTACCTGAATAATGACTCCCGTTCTTAAAGCGCTGCAAAAAAATAAAACAATGGCAGTGTGGGAGGCAGATCTACCTAAATTAAGTGGAAATCTGAAAAGGATCCTCTTCATCAAGAACTTGATAGCAACACTGAGCTGAAGCCTCCTCTGTTGCTTGAATTTCAGAAGATCAGTTATCCAGGCGGCAGCAGTCAATAATACAACATCTTCGCGGTCCCAGGCCCAGACGTGACTACTGGTCTCCTGTTTCAGGAGCTAAGGGGAGCTGATGCAGTCACCAAGGGCACATGATTCAGAGCAAAATCCATCCACTTGCCCTGAAGCACGTCGTGTTGAAAGCCTTGGACGCAGGCGCTGCAGGGGCATTCCTGAGAGGCACAGTCAGCGTTTGCTTTTATTTCTTCTCAACATCTTGTTTGGAGGTAACATCGGTTTCCAGCACTGTGGATGGCACAGGGGTACAAGCTCACGGCTGCTCACATCTGCGGCACCGCACACCCACGCCCTCCTGCACAGCCCAGCCCCTCTAGCTCTGCTCCCATCCCTTCCCTTCCCGCCCCAGGAGCCTCATCCTTGCAGCCAGATTTCTAAGGTTATTGGCTTAGTGGTGTTGGTCACAATGGACACATGAGACTGAAATAATATGCGTGTCTTTCTGCTCCTGCTCATGTCACTCAGCAGCATCCCATCCAGCCCCGGCCATGTTGCCACAAATGGCAGGTTTTCAACTTTTGTATAGCTGCGTAGTATTCCATCATGTAGATCAACCACATCTTTTTTTAAAGATTTATTTATTTATGCACACAAGAACTGGGGTACGGTATGGGGGTGCCACGGGTGAAGGATTCACCAGAGAGAGATTGTGGAATAGAACAGGCAGATTGACGGAAACACACTGCTGAGGGGAGCAGCGGGGAGACAGGAGGGGTCTGCTGCACCATGTGGGTAGCTCCCTGGCCAGGGATTGTACTCATGCTGCAGAGGTTGCAGGCATCTTCATAGGTTGCATCTTAACCCCTTGTGCTACCAGGGAGACCCAAAAGCCACATCTTTATCTGCTCACCTGTCACTTGGCACTTGGGTTGTTTCCACAGAGTGGGCATTGTGCACAGTGTTGCAGGAACACGGGAGTGCAGATAACCCCTCAAAAGAGTGTTGCTCTTTTTCATTGTTCACCTAGGTGTGCAGTGGCTGAGCACCTGCCAGATCTGTTCTTATTGTGAATTCATCACACATTGATGTGAAAAGTCACATCAACGTTGTGCACCCAAGTCTGGCATTCAAGGCAGTGATTTGGGAGGGACAGCAACCAGGAGAAGCAGAATATGGTAACAGACACATATGCACACGCATGCGTGCGCACACACACACACACACCACAACACTCAGGTCAAAATCTCTTT